TCAATTACTCACTCTGTAAATCGAGAATTAATGTTCACGGGTTCTAGTGAGTGACATAATTACAATTTAAAAAGGGCAATTAATCATCAGCTTGTTGTTCACTGCCTTGCTGGGAGTATTTGCTTCATGAACACCAGTAAAGCCACAAAAGCATTAAACACACAAGTGAATATGACCACCAAATTCCAGCCTTTTCTGCCCCTCCTGCAGCTCCTCTGAGTCAGCTAAGTGTCACAAGATCACCACATCTGTTTCCCATTGCTTCTGTGACATTCCTCTTCCTCCTCAGTCTCCATTTCCTGAACAGTGCACTTCCCCCCTCACCCCACCCCACCCTGCAATGAAGCCTACAGGACTTCAAACACTGTCGGCTGTAAAAAAAGAGAACAAGAGTGGCTTCTAGTTCTCAACTCCAAAGGGCTCAAAAAGAGAGTAGGGGAGAGAGCTGAGAGAGACAAACAGGTAGCAAGACAGGCGGAGGATGAAATGGTAGAGGGGCAGTCAGGGAAAGAACTGATATCTCAGCCATGGGGCAGGGATACTGGGATCTGGCTCAAAAAGCAAGGCTGTCCAGCAATACCTTCCTAACATCAGCATCTGTTTTCAGACTCAATTAGACCCTTCTCTAGTTCTGATCCCATGGCTGATGATGCCTAGCTACTCAATCTGACTCCAGGAATCTGAGCCATGAGGCCAGAAGAGTTATTTTTACCATTTCTAACGAGCAGATAGGAACAAATAGTTCTCCTATCAGATGCACTTCAAAATATCTTCCCAAAAGGTCTTCCCTTCCTCTGTGATCTAGTTCCACTGAATGAACACTGAGGCAATAATGAGTCCCTGAGCCATCAGTCCTTCAATGACACCACTGCCTTAGGCTGGATCAGAATGGCCTTGTTTCTATCTCTTGAGCAAGGAAAGGCCATGCCAGTCTGAGACCTCTCAGCACACTGGTATCTGTGTCGGCCTGTTCTGTAGCTGTGGCTGGATGACACTGAGGTAGACAGAGCCCACTGGCTAGGCAGCAGACTTTTCCCCAGCACTGCTACCTTCCCTCCTGCCAAGGGGACTGGTTCTGTGGGGACTGAAAGCCTCGACCTAAGGAAAGGTGGGTGCTTCAGCCAGCCTCAGGGAACAGAGTGTAATATACCTTGCCAACCATGGTAATCTCAATACTTTTTTGCCAGAGACCATGCTGAGGTGGTCACATGTCCCAGTTCAGCCAATGAGACCTGCCTAGACTCTGCCAGGATCTGTCCTTCCTGCTCCTTGCTACTGGAGATGCTACTGGAGGACTAGCTGGCTATGAAAGGGGGGAAGGAATGGCCACAATGTGGAAAGGCTGACACTTCTGGTCTGCACTTCCATAGCAGCGATTGCTACTCTCAAGTCTTCTTACATAGAAAGACAGATATTGCACAATAGTGTCCCTCCTCAAAGCCCAAGGCAGGATTAGCAGTCCACAGGAGGTAGCACTGCCCTGAGGCACAGCCACTCACTCACTCTAAGAAATGTGAGCAACCTGAAACATCACTCCACAGACAGGGATGGTCAAGAGTAATGCTAAAGGCCACATAAAACCAGACAGGAAAGCCAGAGCAAAATAACAAAAGGGCAAGACCACCTTCTTGTATATGCACTAGCTTACCTACACACACACACACACACACACTCTATTTCAAAACTATGAAACTCTCATGAGAAATATAGATGTGAATCTTCAGAACGTTGGGTTAGTTTTCTTAGATATAATTATAAAAGCATAACAACAAAGAAAAAACGCAAATTTATATAACCTCATCAAATTTTAAAACTTCTCTATTTCAAAATATATTAGCAAGTTAAGTAAAGAGACACCCCTAGAATGTAATTTTTTTTGGAGGGGGGGTCAATTGTGGGGCTGGGCACTGTCCCTGGAGCTTTTCAGCTCAAGGTGAGCTCTCTATCACTTGAGCCACTTCTGGTTTTCTGGTGGTTAATTGGAAACAAGCGTCTCACAGGCCAGGTGCCAGTGGCTCATGCCTGTAATTCTAGCTACTCAGGATGCTGAGATCTGAGGATCATGGTTCAAAGCCAGCCCAGGCAGGAAGGTCCATGAGACTCTTATCTCCAATAAAGCACTAGAAAACCGGAAGTGGCACTGTGGCTCAAGTGGTAGAGTGCTAGCCTTGAGCTGAAGAGCTCAGGACAGCACCCAGGCCCAGAGTTCAAGCCCCACACCACCACCACCAACAACAAAAAAAAGAGTCTCACAGACTTACCTGTCCAGGCTGGCTTTGAACCATGATCCTCAGATCTCAGCCTCCTGAATAGCTAGGATTACAGGTGTGAGCCACCAGTGCCCGGCAGAAAAAAATTTTAAATCATCTATCTCTTAAGAGATTTCTATCCAGAATAATGAAAAACTGTAAGGTAACAGTAAAACAACAACAAATGGGCAAAGGATCTTAATAGATAATTCTCCAAGGAGATACATAATTGGGAATGAGCATGTGAAAAGATATATCATTAGCCTTTAGAAAATGCAAGTCCAGACCACAACAAGATGTCTCTATACTCTTATTAGGATTGCTATCCTCAAAATGACAAGAATGGGCAAAGACGTAAAGAAACATAAGCCCTGGGCTGGAAAGGTGGCTCAGTGGTAGAGCGCTTGCCTTGCATGCTCGAGGCCCTGGGTTCGATTCCTCAGCACCACATAAGAAAAAAAGCTGGAAGTGGCGCTGTGGCTCAAGTGGTAGAGCACTAGCCTTGAGCTGAAGAGCTGAGGGACAGCTCCCAGGCCCAGAGTTCAGGCCCCACGACTGGACCCAAAAAAAAAAAAAAAAAGAAAGAAACATAAGCCCTTAGATCATGTAAAATGGAATTTGCAGTCATTTGGACAAACAATCTGGATAGTCCTCAAAATATTAAACATAGTTATCATTTGATCCATCAATTCAACCTCAGAGTATATATCAAAAAGAAATGGAAGGCTGGGAAGGTGGCTCAGTGGTAGAGTGCTTGCCTCATTTGCATGAGGCCCTGGGTTCGATTCCTCAGCCCCACATAAGCAGAAAAAAGCTGGAAGTGGTGCTGTAGCTCAAGAGGTAGGCGCTAGCCTTGAGATGAAGAGCTGAGAGACAGCGCCCAGTCCCAGAGTTCAGCCCCCATGACCAACAAAAAAAAAAAAAAGAAAGAAATGGAAACACATACCCACAGAAAAACTCGTAGTATTCATACTAGCATTACTAACAGTAGCAGAAATTCAGAAATAGCTCCAATTGATTAATAAATATATAAAATGTGCTACATCCATATAATAGAATATGTTTGGGCAATGAAAGAGAATGACCTGGTATTGAAATAATTATGCCTAGTGTGATAAAAACTACCACTTAATACAGTATGCTGCACCTCAAACCTAACCAATCTTCCTCCCTCAAGTGTGTATTTAGGTAATTCTGACCATGCATGGTTTTTAGCTTACTAGCAGATTTGGAGTCTCAGCCCCTTAGGAAAATATTAACTCCATTAAATAAAGAAAATTATCAGAAATGTTGGTTCCAGCAGTACCCAATACTAGCTTCTCAAGTGGCTGAGATCTAAGAATCAATGTTCAGAGAAAGCAACCTGTGCAAACAAACTGAGACTCTTACTTCTAATTTAACAGCAAAAAGCTGGAACTGGAGATATGGCTCAAGTGGTAGAATGACAGCCCTGAGTGATAAAGCTAAGTGAGAGCTTGATGCTCTGAGTTCAAACCCCAGTACCAATACATACACACACACACATGTGCACAAACGTGTACATATACACACTCAGTAGAACATGCTAGAGGTTCCAAAGAAGAAATGATGGGTAACATTGTATGAGAAAGCTGGCATGGAGGTGAAGTCTGAGCTGGACTTGGCTGGACTTAGTTGGACCTATGATGTCATCAACTGTAAGATATTATTTCATACACTAAGTAAAGAAAATGCTGTTATAAGGTGTCACTTATTATAAAAAGTGTCCCAAAGTCAAAAATGTAATAATGTGACAAGTATGTTTACCTCTGAACTGGTGAAATGAGAGTAAAGATAACTACTTTCAAAGTTGGAAGGAGAAATAATTATATGTAAATATTTTTGCTGCTGTTATAAATGATATTAAAATATCAAATTCTCTCTACTTCAAGAATTGTTGTGACTTCTGTCTCTTGACTAGACCCTAAATGAATAGCAATGAATTATTCTTCTTGTTCAATTTTGTTCTCTCTTTCTCTCTCTGGGACTTGAAAAGCCATTCACAAGAATAAAAGGCACAATAATATTTTTAAAAATCACCCTCCACTTAAAGCTAAATTAGCAAAAATTAATAGTAAAAGACACCGATCTCTTCCCATCAAATCAACAAAGATAAGAAGAGTCAATAACTCCTGATGCTGGCACAGATACTCCCGTGTATTGTCGGTAGGAAAATAAACTGGTAGGAAAATAAACTGGTATTGTCCATGTATGGTAGAAAGTCTAACAGTATGTTACAAATCTTTACATTCAGATAGAAAAAAAAAAAAAAGACGGCAGAAACATATTCACTTGTTCCTATTGAATACAGCCAAAATCATAGACATTATATACACCAGACAAACAGAAGAAGGTTCCGCAAAGTGAAAAGAAAGCTATCTGTCTAAACGCCTTAGTAGCCTGGCCTCAGTTCCCTAAATTAATTTCTCATCTAATACATCTTAGACTAGGTGCTAGGGGTGATACAATAGAAACGAACAGGAAACCCTGGTTCTTTCAAGCCTAAACACCAGAGGAAAAAAGCAGTCTAGCAAGACAGACAATCTTTGGTAATCATTACCCTATTGCAGCCTAAAGAAAACACCACGGCCCGCCTACCAGAAAAGCCACAAAGGAGCCAGTCAGTAAGGAGATGCTCAGCTCCCTTCCCTGCTGGGTAGTAGAAGAGAGGAGCAAGTGGAAGGAAGCTCTTTGACACCAGCTAGGACTCTCGAGCCCCATGTCTTTGCTGCTTTCCCAGAATGCTTCTTTCCTCTGTCTTCCTGTCAGCAGACTACACCAAAACCTGAATGAGACTGAATGTACCATCTTACCCACAGTTTCACCTTCCAAGGTTTCAGTTGCTTATCACCAACAGCAGTCTAAAAGTATGGAAAACTCTGGAAATAAGTAAGTCTTAAGTTTTGACTTGCACACCATCAGAGCAGCCTGACAAAATCTTACATGTCCTACTCAATCCCAGCTTGGATATGAATCAATACGTAGTCCATTGTATTCACAGTTTTTATTCTACCCAGTCACTAGTCACTCAGTCCCTGTTACAGTATCTCACAGTTTAGTATGACCTAGGGTTCCAGACAAACACTAGTGATCTATTACTATACTCATTTCCCTGAGCATGTGTGTGATCCACAAAGAAGGCCTTCCTCCCTGAATAGAGCTGCCCAAGGAGAGGCTGCCATATTTATTGGCATTTCTTCCATCCTCTCTAACAGAGGATGGGATTATGACTGCTTTGACCAATACAATATGACAGGTAAAATCCCAGAAGGTCATGCAGCTCCAGGAGCTCACTGCACACTCCCTCCACAGAGGACTTCCTGGGATGTTCTCCCCTCCCGCTGGGGCTGCACTCAACAGCACAGGCACACACAGTTGCACTCCTTTTCTCCTACCCCTCCCAGGCAAAGAGGAAGGACATGTGAGAAGCTCCTCCAGAGAGCCCCACTAAGCCCAACCTTCTGTCATCTTAGCTCAGAATGAAGAAGTATCTATGATTCTTGCCCTGGATATGTGAGTCTTCCTGGCTGAGGCAGAGACTATGCAGTTACATAGTTACCATTATCATAGTCAATCAAAAGGCAATCAAAGAAAAGGAAAGAATGGCTCATTCAAAGAAACAAACTTAATTGACATGGCTTCCTTGAAGAAGCCCAGATATTTACCAAACAAAAATCACTTAGAACAACTGTCTTAAATATGCTCAGAGAGGTAAATGAGAACACAAAGAATAAGAAGAAATCTGGAAAATGATGTATAAGCAAAATAAGAATATCAATAAGGGAACAGAACTCATAAAAAGGAACCAAAATTCTGAAACTGAAAATTCAAGAGTTCAAATGGAAAGTTCAGGACATGGCAAAAGTTCTGAGCAGAAAAAAAGAAGATATAATAACTGGAGATATAATAATGGAAAAGTCTTAGGAGTACAAAGAGAGAAAGAGAAACAGAAGAAATGTGAACAAATCCCAAAGGATTTGTGGGACACTAATACACATTATGGAAGTTACAGGAAAAAAAAAAAAGGGGGGAGAAATGGGAAGATGGTAATGGCTGAAATTCTCCAAATTTGATGATATGAGTCTGTGAAAAGCTCAACAAACTCCAACTCAAAGAAATCCTCATGGTGATACATAGTCAAATTGTTGAGGCAACAAAGACAGAATGCTGAAAGCAAACAAGAGAAGTGAGTTGTCATGTACGAAGAATTCTCAAGAAATTCAGCAGCCAACTTCTCAGAAACCAGGCAGGCAAGAAAACAATGGGAAGACATATTAAATTAAAAGAGGAAAAAAACCTTTTCAGCCAATAACTCTGTATACAACCAAACTGACCAGTTCATTCAAAAATAAAATTAAGGACAAAAATCTGAGGGAGCTTGTGACTACCAGACCTTTCCTATGAGAAGTGTTTCAAAAGAAGCCCTTAGACCATACCTGTAATCCTGTAATCCTATGAGGCTAGCATTAGTCTAATAGCAGAGCCAGTTAAAGTTATTATAAGAAAATTACTAATCAATATCTGTTATGAAAATAGATGCAAAATCCTCAACAATATACTAGCAGACCAAATCCAATATCATATCAAAAGTACTATACAAGGGGGATTTATCTTAAGAATGTAAGGGCAGTTCACTATAAGAAAATCAATCAGTGTAACATATCACATCAATAGACCAAAGAAAAATACCCACATGATTTTCTCAGTTGGTAATAGAATATCCAACACCTTTTCACAATGAAAAAAGAAAAGCTACATATTATTACCAGTAAAAGGACAGTTATGCTCATGATAAAGGTCATGAGTGAAAAACCCAGTCAAAGGTGAGACACTAGGAGCTTTCTACTTAAGATCAGGAGTAAGGTGCTTGCTCTCATCACTGCTATTTAACTTTGAACTGGAAGTCCTAGCTAGATCAATTAGGTAGAAAAAGAAATAAAAGGCATTCAAGTTGTTATTGAAGCAGTAAAATTACTTCTATTTATACAAAACCTAACCTTACAGCCAGGTATGGTGGCACATGCCTGTTATCCCAGTAATTGGGAGGCTGAGGCAGGAGGATTGAAATGGTTTAAGGCCAACCTGGGCTGTATAGCAAGGCCCTATCTCGAAATAAGAAAAAGAAAAAAGATATGCATACATATATGTGTGTAAATATATTTATATAACTACTTTTGATATTACTTTGTTATAGCAATCCTAGGAAACTAACAACAAACTACCCAAAGGAATCTATAAATCAATATACATATACCCAAACCAAAATTCTAACAGCCTTTTTTCTAGAAGTAGAAAAACCACTCTTCAGATTCATATGGAATTTTAAGGGGTACCAAAAAAGAAAAGGTTAGAAGACTCTCAATTTACAAACCTACAGTAACCAAAACAATGTGGAACTCACTTAAAAGACTGCCCTACAATTTGCAGGGAAATGGATGGAACTAGAACGAATTATTTTGAGTGAGGTAAGCCAAGAACAAAGAGACAAACGGCACATGGTCTCTCTGATATATGGATGCTAAAGTCAAAATACAAGGAGATATGACAAAGTAAACACTACTCAAGAAACAAAGGACAACCAGTCATTTTGTCGTATCACGGCTAAATGGACTCCATGTTCTTGAACATATATATGGTATATATATATGCACACAATGGAGGGAAGCCAGGAGGAGGACACAGAATAAGTGGGAAACGGAGCAACACACAACAAAGTGGCCAGCTGCACTGGACATAGAAGAAAAAGATCTAAGCGACCCAAAGACAGTGATGGGAAGAAAGGAATGAGAGAGGGAAAGAGAGAACAGCTTACATTAAGCAAAAGGAAAGGAATGCAAACATCATCTGATGTAGAAGAAATAATTGTACTGTCAAAGCTCATAGAATTCACAAACTTTATAGACCATGATAAAGACAATTTGCCTTTGAAGGTTAAAATGTGTTTGTGACTTTAACTAAGTATCACTATTCCACAATACTGTGAAATGTGTGAAATTTATGTAACCACCTAACCTCAATTTAAAAAAAGAAAAGTGAGAGAAGGGATGGGTTAGGAACAATGGGTGACAATGTTGTCAGACACCTTGTAGTCATACACTGTTTTGTAGAATGGGAACTTCTTTGTACAACTACTTAAAGATAATAATAAAATATGGAAAAAAAAGTGCCATACATACAATGGAAGAGACCTGGCGATCCAGAAAATTTTTTTGACAAGGGTGCCAAACCATTCAGTGGGGGGAAAGAACAGTCTTCAATTGATGGTGCTGGGAACCTGGATTTTCGCATGCCAAAGGTTGAGGTGGGACACCAACATCACATCACATACAAAATTAATTCAAAATAGATCAGCAACTCAAGTATAAACTAAAAATTATAAAATTCATAAAACAGAATCTGTGTGATCTTGGATGTGACAGTTATTGATACTGTACCAAAAGCATAAGCAATAAAAGAAAAAGCAGGACAGCAGACTTCATCCAAAATAAAAGAAAAAGCAGGACATGGTGAAGCACGCAGTCCCAGCTACAGGGGCGGGGGGAAGAGGGAGAGCGGGGGCGGCAGACTATCTCACTACCCTACACAAAGGTAGTGAGAGAACCTGTTCCAGAAGGCAAAAAAAAAAAAAAAAAGGCTGGAGCTATAGGTAGGTAGAGCACTTATCTGCATATATCTCTGGTTCAATTCCCAGAAACAGCAAAAAGGAAACAAAACTGTATGTCAAAAGAAGTGAAAATACCACCTAGAGAACAAGACAGAATAAGATGAACTGATTAAAAATGGGCAAAGAACCTTGTAGACATTTCTCCAAGAAAATATATAAGTGGTCAAAGAAACACATGAAAAGATGCTCAGCAGCATTACTCATTAGAGAACTACAAAACAAAGCCTAACATTTAGATACTACTTTACACCTAAGTAGGATAGCAGATGGCTATAATTTTTTTTCAAAAGGAAAATACTTTGGATAAATATGTAGAATAATGAGAATTCTCCTAAGTAGCTGGTACAAATATAAATTGGTATGGTACGGTCATTATGAAAAACAGTATGAAAGTTCTTCAAAATACTGAAATAGAATTACAATGTGGCACGGCAATTTCATTTCTAGAAACATACATCAAAAAGTTGAGGGGGAGAGTGTAGTTGTGGAGGTGGGAGGGAAGGGATAAGTAGGGGAAAAACAAATGAGGCAACAATGCTTGATAGGAAATATACTCATTACCTTGCTCATGTAACTATAACCCCTCTGTACAGTATTTTTACAATAAAAAACTTATTCAAAAAAAGTTGAAAGAAGAATCTCAAGTAGATATTTGTATACTCAAGTTCAAGACCTAGAAGGAAAATCCAAGTGTCAATCCATAGATGAAAAGGTAAAATATGGGATATAAATCATAGAGTATTGTATTTAGCTTTAAAAAGGAAAGAAATTCTGATTCACACTACATGCAGTATGGACACACTTTGAAAACATCAAGTGAAATAAGCCATTTACAAATGGGCAAACCATATCACCCCTTATCTAAGGCCCTAGAGTAGTCAAATTCATAGAGACAGAGAGTAGAATGAGAATCAGGGATGAAGGTAAGGAGACAGGGAGCTGTTGCTTAAAGGCTACAGTCTGGAATCATGAAATGGTTCTGGAAATTCAAAGTTGGTCAGGGTACACAACACTGTGATTATAATTAATGTCACTCAATTGTACATTTTAAAATAACCAAAATGAGCCAGGTACTGGCTATAATCCTAGCTACTCAGGAGGGTGATATCTGAGGATTAGGGTTCAAAGCCAGCACAA